TTTTAGCTGGAGAGTTATTTGTTATTGAAAAGATGTTAATAATTTGGCAGGTGTACTGTTTCAGAGTATCCAAAGAAGCGGAGTATTTGAAGTGGCACAGTTGCATTCTCACTTTAGAAGGAAAAGGACTGGGAAGAATCAGAAATCGGAGAATGAGATTTCCGATTATTTCAGTTCTGGTTGCATTAACTGGTCTACCATCTGTGGGGTCCGCTAAGCTTCCAGTTGAAAATACATTAACACGTATGTAATACCTAGTATTTAACTATGTGCAAACAATTACGCTGATTCTAGTTATGACAGAAAAACAAACCTTAATCAAAATTTAATAGGTGAAAAAAAAGTATTAACTACCACACTTCATCGAACCAACACCTTATGTAAAGGCGACCAAAGACCGAAAGTCTAATTGAAGTTCAAAACGAAGCTAAACGATTAAGAAAGGGCCAAATAAAACCTTTTCTGCTTAATACACTTACTAGTGTAGTATAAAGTGCACTGTGTATATGTATATATTTTTAATCTTTATTTTATATGACCTGTCTTCACGTCTACGGTGCGGATCCCAGCACTTCTCATATTCGATTCGTTTCCTCGCATCCATTGTCCATGAAGATCTTCCAACTTTTTCGTTCCCAATTGGATCGCAGAGAGTGATTTTTTTCCAGACAAGTTCGGTACCAATTTTTAGACACCGGAGGAATGAGAGGCCTGGTTGGCCAGGAGCGAAGTCCAACTAGCACCATGCTCGTGATGACGGACATCACTACCACTGCGCTATCCTTCCCTATATATATGTATATATATATATATACATATATACATATATATACATATATACATATATATGTATTCGAAACAACTTTATATTATATTGTATATACACATATATAATACAATATAAAATTTACTTAAGTGATTTAACAACATTCTGGCTTGCTGGTAGAGCTCTAAGAATGCTGGGGCAATTACATGACAACGTCACCTGGTATTCACCGGAAGTCCCTGCCAGCCTCGGTGAAACACGGAATTTTCCTAAACAAGTTTGTTAACAATTTGAGAAGTTAGTACGATGGAAGGCTTTTTTGACCTAGCGTGTTAACACGATACGCCTTGTACGTGCTTTTGACAAAGACGTCTAGCCACAGTGCTTCTAGCGACCCCATATTAGGATTACCGAGAAAATAAACTTGCTGTCATTTGGTGTAATATAAACCCGGGATGTCAACGCGCTGTACGTAAATTGTCTGCAGCGTTGAAAACTAACTGCACGGTTAAAGAACGAAGCAAGAGAAACGCAGGAGAAGCTTCGACGACAGGTTTGTGAAATGGTCATCGTTTCCATGAAAATTCCCGATCTGCTTATCTATTCGGGAAGACGCAGCTGGAGTTGGGCGGGAACGTCCGAGCTGAAATTTAGAAGTGTATAGCGGTAAGAACATAGGGCATTTTCGCTCAGAATCGTTCCAGTAAAAGTTGATAATTATTCCAACTGCATTACAACACTGAAATGCCTAGATGACCTGTACTGGTAAGTGCACGATATTTAATGCGCTGGTTAGTTTCATTTGATGTCTACGTGGGCAAGATCTCGAATACTTTGCTAAGGAGTTCATTGAATGCAATGTGTAGTTCCGTCGTTGAACCAATAGTCGTTGCTCGTTCAATAGTGGAAATTGAAGTCTTGGCAGCTGGTGTACGAACTCGTCCAAGTGGGCATAACTTCAATTTGGTGTAGCAAGTACGATAAGAGTTACAGCGCCTGTGACATCTTATAATGGCTCTTCATTAAGAATGTAAAAATGAAGCTCGAGTTAAACAAAGACACATGTGACGTGAATGGAAAGAATCTGAGTCCTTCTTTACCTAATCATTGACTAGGTTTTGCCATTCTTCTTGCCCTGCTTACAATGTGGTCAGTCCTACTGAGAATCTTACTTGAAAATGTGTGAAAGAGCAGGATCCACAGTTATGTGCAATTGGGTAGTGACGTAATGCATCTGTAGATGCCTACCTATATCTGCAGAATAAACGACTCGGCCTCACAAATGTTTTGGGCTTTGTCCTTGCGAATCTAGTAGAATACAAACTATATACAACCACTGTGATGTTGAGATATTTGTAAAACTTGAATTTCCTGCGGTGAAAAATAATCCTTACACGGACGACCCGTCCTTATTAGTTGTGCGAGCCCCTACACAATATCCAGCTTTTTTTGAGTTTTGCTGGTTTAGCCATCGTCGTCAGCACTCTTGTGGATCAGAAGGAGACTTGTCACCACGCTGTATTAGTTGGTGCAACGGAATATGGGACTTCGGGTCAGTCTTTGGCACGCAATAATGACTAACTCGAAGTAGAATGCTCGACTCTGTGTGAGTGCTCCACGCGGTACTTTTTGACGTAGGCACGAAGAACAATCTCAAGCTTGGGTTATAATTGTTTATGTCAATAACAACAATACAATATACGCAATCTTACGATGGCTAATTGAGTGAGCGGACACGAGTGATAATGAAATGAGGATAAGTGAAACACTTGAAGGAAGTTGTGCAAACACTGGAGTTGGGACACTGGAGGAGTGAGGCACCGGAATCCCATGACACAGGAGTACTGGTGGATTAAAACGCAAGCACTCGTTTGATGACTAGTAGTGCTCCATATATTCCATCTGTAATGGAGGGTGGGGGGCTTCTACAGAGAGAACTAGAGACATTGCTCAGAGAGAGAGATTCTGAAACGTTCTCAGTTAGTACAATCTGATAGAACTACTTGCACAGAAGGCTGTTGAAGTCTCTACAATTGTTTATACAAAAAATGCATGTGACAGCGATGGAGTGGATTATACAAAAATTTGATTGGAACGACACATGGTGGAAAGTGCATGCAGGTGAAAGCTGTTCATTCAGTGGCCGAACTGTTGGACAAAGAAGAGCGGTTTATACGAAGAAGATACGGAATCCCTCTTCAGCTAGCTGGCCAAGCAAGTGCATGAGAAGGTCGCTAAGAGACAATTTACAGAAGATGTAAGCAAAGATTTAAGATAATTGTAGGTAACCAGTTACTATGGGAAACATACGCCAATACAGAAGATAGGGACTACTTGAGGAATTTGAGGAGAACTACTGTGGTAATGGGCATCTTCATGTAGCTGCACGTGTTCACCGCAATGAATCACCGAACTGTTGGCCTTGTGGTTTTCATTATATATTGTTTATGACGTAGCTATACATCTTCATTACAATGAATTGACGCATCGTGGAATTTCCGCTCTTCGTGGTAATCTGCAACATCAGGCAGCTGCACATCTTCTTTGCTATGAATCGGTAGATTCAGCGATTTTCGACCGTCCAACTTATTGGGTCGGATTTTCCCAGATTTTTCAAATGACCAGTTAACTTGGATACGGACATTTGGGTGGTGTTATTTTATCACCGCTTTCATCCTCGTATTGATAAGGTTCGTGAAGTTCCTTTGGATGCTCTTTCTGAGCAACTAGTGGCGTTTGATATTTCGCATCTAGTCATTATAATGCTCGTGGTGTTGATGGTCAGTGTAAGAGTGAAAACGATAGTCACTCTTAGTGTAGTCAATTCAGGGATGACTTTGACAACTATAATCATCACGTTGATGGTGATGATCACATTTTCCCACATTTTGGAGCTGCCCAGGTTGGCCATCGTGATTCTTGTAGTCGTCCTGACTGCTTTGCTCATGACTTAGATGATAGTCGCTTAAGCGACCTAGGATCAATTCAGGTTTAGTCTAAAAATATGCACTGTAAAGTAATCTCAATACAAAATGTATACTGATGTAAAAAAAATCGATCTCACATTGTTGACCAGATAAAGGTCTTTTCTGACTGCGCATTTCCATTTGTTGACAAGTTTTCTTCAGTTCTAAAAAACTGATTTTTGATGTAAAACGGGAATAATGTTCCTTGTTAACAAACTGGCTCTCTCTATTTTCCTAAGATTTTGTTCGAAGGGTAGGCTTCGACATACTAGGTGTTGGTCAGTCTGCTACATTAAACAAGACTACTTCGAGTCCCAGTGCTACTACTACGTATTTGCCATCAATATCAGGAGAGACTACTTTGTTATAAATATCTATCAAAGAGAGTTAGAGAGCAATTTGTTCAACCAAGTTGTCTTTGAATTAGAGAGAATAAAGGGAAGTAATCATAGGCGGAGACAAGAAATAAATCTGGCAATTTCAAAATAGGTGCTATTTTTTAGTAAGAATTTTCCGTGTTAAAAGCAAAAGACACCCATATGTAATGCTGAGATATTTGCAAGACTTCGGACCGCAGGTGCGTGTGGTGGGAAACGAACACGCGCTGTTGTCCTTACCGAGGAGCAGCGCACTTCACCACCACACCATCCGGGTCCTTCGTTTTGCCTATCTCTCAGCTAGTTCTATCTTAACTGGGTTCAATGCCGATTTGGGCTCCCCAGATCAATCCCGTTGACGGGTGATTGCTGATGGCAAAAAGATCGACAGAACTAGCTGAGAGACAGGCAAAGCGAAAGACCCAGATGGTGTGGTGGTGAAGTACGCTGCTCCCCGGTAAGGACAACACGGCGTGTTCGTTCCTTACCGCACACACCTGCTGCCCGGAGTTTTGCAAACATCTCAGCATTATATACGAGCTATATTTCGCAACATACCCTGCCACTAAAATGAAAAGGGCAGTAAATAAAAGGGTTAACAAAAGACACCGTCCCAACTGCTACTAGAAGATGCCTCTACCACCGGTTTGCAATGGCAGGTCGGTCAGCTGTGGCTGTCTTTGACGAACTATCGTCGATGAGGGCGAGAAACGCATTTCACTATGAGTATGGAACTCTTCACGATTACTCATTCGATGTGTGTTCTTCTCAAGAGCTGGTACACCGTGGTGATCGGATTTCTCATTCTGGGCTGACTCATGTTCCGTGCCGTTCTGTCACTGATAAGAAACAAATTGGAAATGTTTGTCGATTTTTTCGCCAAACAAGTCTTTAAATGTTGTATCCAACATTTATTACGTTCTTCGGATTATTGTTGTACTGTGCTTTCTCTCTCAACAGCTCAGGTCGTATAACGTCGAGAACTTTTGGTCCTAGTTGGCTTGCAACCATTTCTTTCTCTTCATCGTGGTGCTCACTACGCGTCTCTGTCAGAGATTCGTAGGAGTCATAAAATTCCATGCTTCCAGTTAATTTGTACGAGGAATGGCATTCATCTGGTTCAGCAACATTTCCAGAACGTAACATCGAAGCTCCTTCGCTAGACCTAAAACCGTTGTGAGTCATTTGAAATCATAGTTTCACGCAGGAGATTGCAAAAGCGACTCTCGTTTAACTTCAGAAATGACCGATATTGACTGCTTCTTGGTGAGCAATCGCGAGGTCGTTGTTAAACTATCCGCCATGTTTCAACTGGTCGTTGATGTGGTGACTTCTCTCGCAGAGACGATCTCCAATCTGAGGTCTGAGGAAGGCGAAGTCGCCGAAACGTCAGCCATCGATCAATAACATCAAAAACAACGACAACGACAACGACAACGAAGATCTGTACCAACCTCGCGTCAGCTTAAGAAGATCAGTTTATAAGATCTCATAAATAAATATATCAACTATTTATGCCGAGGTTCATAGAAAGTCGGTCTTTCGAGTTATTAAGATCTCCAATCTGTTTATAAAGTTGAGCTTACACGAGGTTGATGAAGGTGCTTATTCGGCTAACGTTTCGACGGTTTCATCTTCATCAGAGCCGATGATGCGAGTCGATGGTCCACAGTTGTTCATGTTCTCAAGGTGATACCTATTAACCTACTTGAGTAACTGAGAGTGCAGTCGTGATAAACTACTGGAGTAGTTTTTGATTAAACAAACCCAATGACGGCAAGAAAAAGGTGTACAATATTCAGCGAAGTGTTTTTAAATACAAAATGTTATTGAAAAAACACCGGAGGATCTTTCGCACCGCATATGTTGTTATGTGGTCCACGTGCTGCGGCTTCGCATTGTTGAGCATGACATTAAACCATCGTTCCTGAAAAGCTGTCACGAATTTGTGTCCGTTTCTACTGGAATCAGTGTGCTTCTCTGATATTCTACGCTTTCACTTTGTTCGAATGTCGGCTTCCTATTAAGCCGAAAATTTTCCCGTTACAAACGATTGCCTGCATTGTGTTGCTCGTACTGGTCTGCTACTTATATGGAATGTAGTGGTCCTATTGGCTTATGTTGCACAACACTAATGGATGGGAATTTCGCTCTATTTGTAAGGATTTGCTGCCTTTAGAATTTCTTCTACGTTATCTGAATATGTGTGAAGAGATTCGACCAATACGGAGGAGTGGATGGCAAACTGAAGACTGTGACAAACTGTACAAGAACTGAACTGACCAGCCACGTTTCCGAAGTAATCGCTGGTGGTTGAGTCGTCAACTGAGGAGAATGAATCGATCGATCCCAGCTCTTCGTCGCAGTTTCAGACACGTGTCACCATCAGTTCGGTTCCAAGCAGTTACAAGACGACAGTCATGTGTGTACCTGTCTGCACCTGTCAAGACGCGTTCAAGAACTCTAATTGTTGGTTACTAAGCGAAATACAACCACAACGTTGCTGAGATAGTTGCAAAACTCTGGACCGCAGGTGTCTATGGTGGGGAGGAAACGAAGGACCCGCATGGAGTGGTGGTGAACGCGTTACTCCCCGGGAAAGACAATAGCGCGTTCGTTCCCCACCATAGACACCTGCGATCCAGAGTTTTGCAAATATCTCAGCAGCGTTGTGGTTGTATTTCGCTTAGTAACCGGCCATGAAAATTATAGAAGACAGAAAACAAAACGTTAAACATTCTAATTGTTGGTATCGTTTCTAA